AAAAAAAAAAAAAAAAAAACACAAATTGGTCCTTATATATATATATACCAAAAATAAGGTTAACTACATTGGAGGGTCATGGAACACTACATCAAACAAACAAGTAAATAAATAAATAAATAAATAAACAAACCAAATGGGCAAGCAACAGAGTAGGAAAAAAATATTCTTACTGCCTGTTTCTGACAGAAGACTTGCATCCAGAATACATAAATATCTCCCACAAATTAACAATAAAAAGATGAGTAACCCAGTTTTTTTTTTTTTTTTAAGATTTCATTTATTTATTTGACAGAGAAAGCTCAGGTAGACAGAGAGGCAGGCAGAGGGAGAAGGAGAAGCAGGCTCCCCGCTGAGCAAGGAGCCTGATGTGGGGCTCGATCCCAGGACCCTGGGATCATGACCTGAGCTGAAGGGGCAGATGCTTAACTGACTGAGGCACCCCAAGTAACCCAGTTTTTAAAATGAGCAGAAGAATTAAATAGATATTTCACAAAACAAGATATATGAATGGCTTATAAGCACATGAAAGGGTACTTAACATGAGGCATCAGGGCAGTGCAGAAAAACACAGTGAATAAAGGGGTTTGTAGGAATTTGGGTGGGAGTGATTTAACTTTTCTGTATCTTGATTGTGACAGTGTCTACACAACATATGCAGTTGTCAAACTCTTAACTGTAAGCTAAAAAGATGAATTTATTGAAGGTAAATTATGCCTAAATAAAAGGAGATACAGGTGATCCTTGAACAACACGGGGTTGAACTGCATGCGTCCACTTATGTGCAGATTTTTTGGATAAATACAGTCTAGTATGCTAAATATATTTTCCTTATGATTTTCTTTTTAAGATTTATTATTAGAGGGAGAGAGAAAGCACATGAGTGAGGGGAGGAGCAGAGGGAGAGGGAGACAATCAGACTTCCCACTGAGCAGGGAGCCTGATGGGATGGCGGGGCTCAACCTGAGCTGAAATCAAGAGTCGGACACTTAACTGACTAAGCTGACCCAGGCGCCCCCCCCCATGATTTTCTTAATAACAT